GATCAGACCTCCCCGTTTGCAGTATCCTTGAAGTCATCTCAAAAAGTCACACCCCAGGCATAACATTTGGCTATTTCATGTCTTTCAGAAGCTGTCCTCCTCACAATGCAGTTCACTGTTTTACCTTTAAACTGCATTTTTCCCAAGTTTTTCAAATATCAGACCCCTGGAATCCTAATTCTTATCATTCCATACTACAATTATTTACTGTACTTCCCTGTTTATATGAAGACATACTCCATGACCACAAAACTTGAGTTTTTACAGATTCACAAATATTTTTACATGCTACAATATATTTAGAAACGTAACAGAAAGATCTTCTGATAAAGGTAACTCCATGAAAATAAGAATTGCCAGACATTTTGGTTCAATACAGTAGATCACAGTTGTTCTGCTAACAAGTATCTTAAGTAAGACTGAAACCAAGTTTATTTTCAATCAAGACCATGTAGTTAAGAATTCTATTTAGAATTTACAGAAAACAATGTGATTATCAGGAGTTAGAAACTGTTGAGGCTGTCAAAATCTGTAGTTCTTACAGCAGTGTGATAAGTTAGCAAATTAATTTACATGTTAAAAGAATTTTCTTTCTCTCTCCTCTATTGACAAATAAATCTATCTTTTGGTTTCTCTGTTTTTACCAGCATTAGATGATTTGCAGCGGATACTTGCTCCTATGCTGATCAACTGTTCTACTTGACTCAAAAAACCTATCCTGAAGAAATCATCAGAGCAGTCACACCAGTTTCACTGTGCCTATAATCAACTGAGAAATAAAAAAAAAATCCTGAAAACCCAATAGAAATGTTATTTTTTCATCTAAATATAGTACAAATATTGCTTTCAAATTCCAGCCCAAAGAGAATTTGTTTCCTCACTTTATCTCTGAACTTAGTTCATATGAATTCCACACTGTTTTAGAAACACACTTCTGTCAAGACTTCAAAACAACAACTAACTAAACAACTCATTAATTCTGCTAGACCTATCCATTTTTTCCAGTAGGCATTAGAATGCAAAGGAAACAACATTTGAAACTGGAAATAAAAGTAGCTATAAAAATCTAAGTAAATTTGAGGTTGCTTTTTTCTTATGCAAACATGAAACCACTGACATTTTCAGTTAAAATAAGATTTAACACCTGAGCAAACGAATCAATATCTTTATGCAACCAGATGTCAGAAAGGAATCCATTTCTTGTACCGTCCGCGGTTCAAGTCAATTCACATATTTTTCAGTCTGAAGATAAAAAACAATATTGAAAGCTTAATCTCTTCCAAGAGTTGTCTTTATTCTCACACATTACCCACAGAGAATTGGAATGATTATTTTTCCCAGCAGCAACCGGAAACCCAGCACTCAGGTATCAGTTAATGCATTGATTTTGTCATATACAAGTATGAACACCATGGCAGTCGAGCCATTTGATCTGAGGAAAAGCTGTGTGAAACCACCCTAACTGAAGATCACACTTCAGCTAAAGCAGTTCATCCAAACCAAGTAATCTTTAAAATATGTTAATGTCCTGAAAGACTCGACAGAACTAACTTTAGAAAACAGATTTTAAATGGCTAATAATACAACGCAAATATAAACATCTCTTCCGACAAAAGAAAAAGCTTACCATTGATTAAATACTCTGTCACCACCATCATCCAACCATTTGTACTCCTCATTTATCCTTGGAACCAATTGATTTTTGTCTCTGAGATGTCTCTTTGTTAGTGTTATCTTGAGCTGAACACCACTCAGCAAGAGTGTTCTTCTGTTTCTCTTCTAGAATGCGAAGTATTCCCCAAGAAAGTTTTAGAGTCATCTTTATTATCCATTGTTTTCTACTAAAAAAGATAGTTACAGCAGGTTTTACCAAGTTTTACCTATTCAACCTCTTTTATTTAATCTAGAATGCTACTACCAGTCCAACATAAATGACATATTTAAGGGTACTCAAAGTGCAAACAAGGACTGTAAGAATGAGGTTAAACCCACCATTTTGGTGTTTAACCTCCCAAGCCTCCATTATTCCAAACTACTGCATTCAAAGGGGCTTCCTTAAGTAATCACCTTCCCCACAATCTCAGCCCAGACCTTTTTCCAGAAATGGAATGCTGAAGACAGGTGATACAGTCCTGCATGTAACAACCCCACACAATCCATTCATGCTCTGCTTTACAGACAAATTCATCAAGTGATACTGAAACCTCTACTTTTACATCACTTCATGTTTGAAACACAGAAGCTGAAGAAGAGTAAATTTAGTCCAGACTAGACTGATAAATAATGATCAGTTTCATCAGTCACATTCCAATTTTTTTGGTTTCTCTTTTATGGCTCCTATCAACTCACACTACATAACATTTGTTACAACATGCTGTTCTTCACACCTACCTTCAAAGCTTGCAGACCTTTTGGATCCACACATGTTAAAAGCAGAGGCCGGGGGGGAGGGGAGAAGAAAGTGTAGACTTGATCTGAAAATCAGACAAGGATTTCCATGCATACACTCCGCAGAAGAAATCAACAGAAAACACCTTAGATTCAGTTCTGTAAGACAACCTACTACATGAAACTGCAAAACAACAGGAAGAAAGCCATCCTTTTCACTCTTACGTATTCCTTACCTGCAGTAACATATCCTACCTGTGAGGCTGCAACCCAAACATACTGCAGTTTCAATGTGCACAAGATTCACAAGACCAACACAAGATTAACTGATACTAAGAAATACCATTAGTACCTGCGTTCTAACCAGATCTGGTAACCAATTGTCTGGTCAATCTTCTCTCTTCTTTCTGCTGCCACTCTTTCAGCCACAGCAACAACTGCTAAACATCTCGGCTGAATACAGAACACACGACAGGGAGTTCCATTCTTGTAGCAGTCATCAAGGATAAATTGAGGGATCAGTAAAGAAGTGGTTCAAATTTGCTTTTTGAGAAAGTCACAGCTTTGTTAGCACAGGGAAACCATTTAACTGCATCTCAATATTGCACACTACAAAATCTTTTCATTACTATTATCACGGCAAGCACATCTGAATCAGCGGAAAATAAATTTTTAAGTATAACCTATTTAGATTTTTCTAAAAGAAAAAACTTGCAGTGTCTCTCTCGTGCTTCAGAGAAATCTCAAAAAAACCCCAAAAAAACAACCCTGTAGATAATCTCATTTTAACACAAAAAATATATTACTCTGGGTACTAAGAACAGAATGACCTTAGAAGAAAAAGGGTTATACAAACATCACAGCTACTTTCCCTTCAAGATTTTGTATTATTTTAATGAAAAAAATGGTATCCACCATTAAATGTATGCTTTTAATACCTACCTACTTGCTTAGTGTTTCAAAAGCAAGAAAGTGAATAGGAACAGAATTTGCAATCCCACAGGAAAAGAAAAGCCTTAAAATAGCATAAAAATATCCCACAGCACAAATGTTATACAATTGGCATTAGTTTAGAATAAATACGGTTACAGTTTTTATTTCATTGAAGAAACATACCTGCATTGTTTTTCCTCACCCTGTCTCTCCTATAATCCAAACAATTTTATTGTCCTTTATGATTTGGACAATTTCTTCCTGTTTTTCAAGAACTGGTAGTGACTGCCTGAAGGAATCAAACTCTGATTCCCCTCTTTTCACTGGGACCCGGGGGATACCATCATTATGTTGACCACTTCTCTTGTTTACTTCTTTGTTTTCTGTGAAGACAAGTTAAAAGTTAATTCATGCAGATACAGAGGAAGATCACAAAAACACTGCTTAAAAATTGTACTTAGAAATTAACATTGCTGACTTCTAATGCACCCCTGTGGGTAAACTGACAAACCCATCACACATTTAGACGTCATATTTATAGCAACATATCCTGCAGTGCTTGAAATAGATATTTTTCAAAACAGTTATTACTTTTATAGGTATTTTGAAGAAAACCAGACTCTTCCAGAGCATTTCTCCAAGTCAAAAAGCCTACAAAGAGCAAAAGGAGAAACAAACTTAACCAGAGAATACCAGCCTGGTGTATGTTGGTGGCCTTTGTATCTGCGCCCACACTTCACACCTGTAGTTCTCCCTAGAAATACACACTGACAGAGTTAAACCTTTAAGCTTTCCACACATTTGCCTGAAATCATACCAATGCAAGCACACTCTATCAAGAGCCCTGGCCCCCACACAGCAGTGTGATGTGTTAGAAAGCAGTGCATAAGTAGCCAAAAAACAGGCACATCTTCTGAGGGAGCTACTTCTCATTCATCATTGCAAGTGCTACTCTGTAATTCCTTGAGAATTATTTACCGGCAGAATGAAAAGCTTGCTGTAAACGCAGTTATGCATATTTAATGCCATTAACATATTCATATACTAAATTTCAAGCTCTCTTGTACCAAGAGAAACACAGACTAAGAGATCAGGAGAACTAAAATACATTCTTGAGATGCAAAGAAAGGCAAATATTAGACTGTTCATTAACTTATCCCTTCCATTCCTAAGACATTGCATTTCAGTACTTTTATTACAGCTTCCCTCTGTTCATTAAACAATCCCATTAAACAAGTGAAACAATTCAAAGTAACAGCAAAGGAAACACTTCAAGAACAGACACCACGTATCAGAAACATGCAATTAAACAAGGCATATTGGTACAAATGTTTTCTGTTCACTACACTCATCTCTGCACACAGAAACACAGTGCAACTCTTCCACCTGCAGCTGCTAAAGCAATAATCTAGATGAAAGCCTTACTTTTTAAAAAATACCCAACATTTTGACAGAAGTTTGTCTTTCAGTGAACTCTTCCATATTCGAGAAATCAAGAAGTCTGGACAGTAGTCTCTTAAGGAAAAAATCTATTTTGTAGAGATGAAGGGAAAAAACCTAAACTTCTTGATTTATTAAGGAAACTAATTTCTGTAAGCAGAACAGACAACCTCATTTTCTCATATGGGTGTTCTTATGGCATCACAATAACACTGACTCTTCAATCTGACCTCAAAGTATTTGTATGAAGTCACATTTCAAAATGTGCTTCCAAAAAGATTTGGCTGGAACTGGCTCAATGATTCTAAATTAACACAACACAAGGTGGACATCTCAATGTGCATGATATGACTTCCCAAGTTCCTCACAGCACCAGTTATAAAAGACCTTAAAAGTAAGGAAAATTAATGCATTTGTTTGAAGGTGTCTGTCAGGATACCAGAGGGGACAGAGCAGAAAGAGGTTTGTTTTCTTTTGGGTTGCAGGTGGTTTTTTCAAGTGGTGTCAATGGACAAGTCCAAATCAGAACACATGCTGAACATACCAGATTCAACAGCACAGGCACTTCCTCGCTCTGTCCTTGGCAGGAGTTCTGCGTGTTTCTTATTTGTGACGGGAAAGTGCTGAATTAGACTCCAAACTGTGTGTTTCGTATGGAGAGCCAAGTCACAAGTCATGACTGCGTGTGCCTCTGACATGTCCTTCTTCCTTACAGTCAGGTATCAATTGGCTCCTTTTCTGTCAAGGGGGAGAGAAAACTTATTTTAGGAAAAAGGAACCTACTCTAGGTTAACTTTTATCTGTCAAGGTATGAGACGCTATGCAAAATCTTTGGAAAAAAAACAGAAATCACAGTGAGAAGCTTTTTTAATGGAGCCATTAAATCCACAAAGTATAAAAGCAAACTGTCCCAAAATGCATCTCACAAGCTTTTCCAAGCATGCATACAGCAATGAACAAAGATGCTCATTTCTGTAGCTACTTTTACACTTTTTTCTCTAATACTATTCCTTCCAACACAGTTGAGTATGTTGAAAACATCAGTCAGGTTTATCATTAGTCTTGAAATTCTATTCGTCTGCACCAAAGAACTCAAAATTGTACCCTGACTCACCCTCTCCTTTTAGATACCATTCCAAGAGACTGACAGAGACGGTGAACAAATGCTCTTTCAGTACTAGTGAAACTAGAAGGAAATTCCATCTCTAGAATGATAAATAATAATGAAAAAACAGTAACAATGCAACAGGCAGTAATCTTGACATCTCAATGTTACAGAACGACAGAATTGTTAGGATTGGAAGGGAGACCACCCAGTGCAAGCCCCCTGCAGGGTCACCTGGAGCAGGTGACAGAGGAACACATCTAGGGTTTGGGGTGTCTCCAGAGGGGGAAATTCAGCGCTTTCCCTGGGCAGCAGTTTCAGTGCTCTACCACTCTCAAAGGAAAGAAGTTCTCCCTCATGTTCAGGTGGAACTTCTTCTGTTTCAATTTATGGCCATTGCTCCTTGTCCTGCCACCAAAAAGTCTGCACCGCCTTCCTGGGACTCACCTTGGAGATATTCATATGCATTAGTAAGATCCCCTCTCAGTCTCCTCTGGGCTAAACAGGACCAACTCCCACACCTCTCCTGGTAAGAGATGCTCCAGACCTCTCATCTCATCTCAGTGGTCTCTGCCGGACCCCCTCCAGTAGCTCTCTGTCTCCGTGCTGGAGAGCCCAGAGCTGGACACAGCACCCCAGCTGTACCTCACTACGGCCGGGCAGAGAGGCAGGATCCCCTCCCTGACCCGCCGCCAGCGCCCTCCCCGCAGGCTGCCCCCGGGCCGGGCCATGCCGCGCACCCCCCTCGTCCCCGCTCCGGAACCGCTCCAGGGCGAGCTGCAACGCCATTTCCACCTCCTCGTCCACGCCGGCCTCCCTGAGGGGCTCGGCCCGGGCGTGCACCGCGGCGGCGGCAGCCCCGTCCCCCGCAGCCCCGCCGGGCTGCCGCCGCGGGACCCGCCTGTGTCGCGACATGGCCCCGACACGGCCCCGACACCAACACGGATCGGCGGCCGCAGCTGCTCGGCCCGAGGGGCGACGCTGGGGCGGGGCGGGGCCGGCGTGGAGCCATCCGCAGCCGAACCGGCCCGAACGGAAGGAAATTGGCCCTTGTCCCACCGGTCAGGGCACACGGCTGCCCAACGACCGTGTGTGGCTGCGAGCCAAACGTGGCTCTGGTACCTGTCCCGTTATAAGTTACGTGCTTTCATGGCATGGTATTAGACGTAGCTATGGTGAGGTGTGAAAAATGGTTTTGTGATTTGTGTCAATCGGCAGTGGAATCAGAGAATGCTTGTATCTGCTGTGTCAAAAATGAACGCATTCCTCGGGATAGGTACAAAGTAGGAGTTCGAAACTTTCTGTAGCTAAATAAAGCATCGAAATAGGGGAAGTATGGTAAAGTAAAGAGATGAGGTAGCAAGATGACTGATACTTAGAATAAAATAGAAGGAAGTGGTAGAGGTAAGGGGATTGCAACGCGAGTAAATGCTTATGTATAATAAAAAGCTTAACAAAATCATGTAGGAGACACTGGTGAAGGGGCCTCCCTCCAGACGACTACAAGAAGGACAGGAAGCCAACGACCACATGGAAAGATTATGAAATTACTGATTCCAACTAATTGATATTTGCTGATTTATACTAACCAAGTACATTGGAAAATGCTTTGTAGGCTTAAAAAGAGTGTGAGAAACTACAGATTGAGATATTGTTTATTAAGATATACGTAAAGGTTAGACAATTGTGAGAAACTACAGATTGGGATAGTGTTTATTAAGATATATGTAAAGGTTAGACAATTGTGAGAAACTACAGAGTGGGATATTGTTTACTAAGATATATGTAAAAGTTAGACAACTGTGAGAAAAAAAAATACAGACTAAGGTATTGTCTATTGAGATAAAGTTAGACCACGGAGGTATGCAAACACCAAACGGACACAGCTGATACTACATAAGATAACAAGCACTTCAACCGGAGACTGAAGATAAAGACCACAACAACCATTCACACTAGGGGACTGCTTAAACAAACACAAGATAACGACAGGAATTGACTTGCAAATTCCAGGGAGACAAAAGAAGAAATAGGAATAAAAGGAGACAGTTGGAGCGAAATCGGTGGAGCAGCCAAAGCTTCGGATTTTTGGAAGTTTTTGGGTTTGCTTCCCCAGCGCTGTTACCTTTGTTCATATCCTACTTGCTGTAAATTAATAAAATTCTTAATTGGATTATGTTCCGTTGTGGCGCAAATTTATAACAAGAGTATATATACTTTACTGAATCTGTAAGTGATGTGTGCCATGAGTGGAGCGGTGGCTCCCAGGCCACCCAGCACTGCTTGTTTGCCTCTTTAAAATAAAAGATACAGAAATAAAATTAGTTTTGTGTGAAAACCAGCAATCACTGTTTTAAAGTTTTAAAAGTTTAATAGTAACAAAATAGTTTAAAAATTAGAGCAATAAGAATTTGGAAAATCAGAGTTAGAACAATAAAGAACAATAAAAAGAAAAGAATCACAGACATCCAGATGCTCTTAGGCACTAAGCCACAAAAGCATACCTCACTAACAGAGGATTTACCCTTAAAATCAATAGCCTATTCATATATCTCATACATGATGCCAAAATTCTTTTCAAACAAAATATGTCCTCTACTTAATTTCTGTCCCACTTCATCTTGTAAATCAATTTCTTAGCTCCTAGAAGGCTAAAAGAAGTCTAAACAGTCCCAATAAGGAAATCAGAATTCTTCTCGTAGAATTTTTAATGTCAGTATACAACAATTTCTTAGTTATCTTATCCATTTCTTAAGCTAGTCACAAAAAGTATCTTACATCACATAGTTTCTATTTTAATATTATGCTATAGCTTAAAAACTATGTTTACCTTATTATTTAAAGAAGATTAATACAGCATAACTTTCCAACATAACACATGTAGTATTCATTTTAATAAATATGCATCTATAACAATTTGGCTATTGAAATTTTATAGCAGAGGGTCATCTCAGCCTCCTCACTCTGTAAAGTGTTACTTGCCCTGCTTTTCCTGCTGTTTTTGACTCCACACTGAAGACACAAGGTAGAAACTAAACCAAATCCTCTTGGGCCTGACACATAGCTCGGTATTGAAGGCTGCTGCTTCAGAAACATCATTAGATCAGAAGGAGAGTACTTGGAAGAAGAACAAACTACTCCTCAGTTGTGAACTGAAGTGGGCAATTAAATAAATAGAATATAAACACTCATTGTCTGATGTAGCTGGCTGAAAAATAGCTCTTAAGCAACCTGTACCAAAGTGTTTACAAGGCTTATTTCATCATAATTCTGCAGAGAGATCCCACTGTGGTGAAACAACTGATCTGTTCTAAAGTTACTTGTTATAGATGCATATTATATGATTGGCTCTCAACAAATATTAAAATGAATACTATACATGTGATGTTGGAAAGTTATGTTGTATTAATTTTTTTGTAGTGCTATATTAATCCTTTTAAGTAGTGCAGCTATAGCATAATATTAATAGGCTACAGCATAATATTAAAATAGAAACTATGTGATGTAAGATACTTCTTGCAACTGGCTCAAGGAATGGAAAAGATAATCAAGAAATTCTTTGCATTATCCTGTTTGGATAGAGATAACAGCAACAAGACACCAAAATTTGCAAGAGAAGAATGATTGCCTCCTTATTGGGACTATTCAGCCTTCTTCCAGACTTCTAGGAGCCAAAGGAATTGATTTACAAGATGGGGGGAGTGGGGGTGTCAGAAATTAAGCAGAAGGCAACCTTTGTTTGAAAAGAATTTTTGCATCATGTATGAGATATATGAATATTCAACAGGCTGTTGCTTTTAAGGGGTAATCCTTGTTAGCAAGGCATGCTTTGTGGCAGAGTGCAAGGCACCTGGACGTCCATAATTCTTTGCTTTTTTGTTGTCTCTTGTTATCCTTATTTTTGTTACTATTTTCATGACTATTAAACCTTTAAAATTTTAGCACAAGTGAATGTTGTTTTTCACCTTTGGGAAAGAGGGTCTTTGTGACACCACAGCAGAGAGGAGCAAAGTGCGGCTTGGATGGAGCTGCCTGTGGAGGTCAGGTTAGATGTCTCTTAAATACTTCACTGGGTGGGGGTTTGCAGCTGTGGAAACTATTGATGGACTGCTCAGCCCCACAACCTAGGCAAATGGGAAACACTCCTACTTAGTTTTGCCATCCTGTCCATTATGGCAAAAATTTTCATTTTGTTTTAAACTATGTTTCCATGCTGTGTTTTATTGTAAATCAGTCCTAGCATTTTGGGTTTAGGTCTATCCATTATTTTAATCAAGAGACACTGTGAAAGGCAGCGACATTCCTACTGCCTGTTTCTTTGTCTTATTATTGTTTCCTTCCTCAAACATATCTTTACGAAATCTAGTAAAAATTAATTATTTTCTTTAATTCAAGCAAAACCCCAATGGTTTATGCTGTACACACTCCTTCATGCTCAAGAAGCTATGAGGTAGTATTTGTTCAGTGATCTAACTTCAATTTTTCTGCCTTTCTAAGAGTAAAGAGAGACTGGAATGTTTCCTGGGGAAGGGGGGACAAGTTGGTCCATACGGTTAAGAATAAATTGAGGTTCGCATTCATTTAGACATCCTAATACACTTCCATACTTGAGCAAGTCAGAGCTATTGTATTGGTGCCTAGTATTGCAGTAGCTTGATGAATCTAAGAATGTCTTAGGATTCTTCCTTTGAAATTGCTGGCTGTTATTAGTAGCAAAAAATCCCAAACCCAACACAAACATCAAAAAACAGAAACCCTCTTAAGCATAAGAACTCCCCAAGCTTTTGTTGCTGAGTTGTGTTCACCCTTCTCTTGGGATAAGCAGGAATTCTTGTTTGAGTACTATAGGCACAGAATCGACACTGTGCCTCTGGTGGATGCTCTTGGGCCGATATTCCCTCTTGAAGTTCGACTCTCTTGAACCATTCAAGCCCAGAAGTCGTGTGGGGTGGAGATAAAAAATAAAAAAAAAAAAAAAAAAAAAAAGTAATTGCATAGGAGCAGAGAGAGAAGAGTTTTAAACGTCTTTTGTTTTAAGATATGACAGACCCCATTGTATTGTCTGTCTGCCCTTCTTAGATCTCTTGAGTCACTCAATAAAGGTGGGAAAATTATGGACTGCTAGGAGAAAGAAATGGAAGAGCACCAGATTCTGCAATAGCCTTGCCACACTTGTCTAGTGTAACTTCTAGTACATGGCCATGAGCTAGTAGGGGTTTTAATATTTAGTTTGGCAGTGGCCATAACAAACAACCTCCTAAGCAGAACACTGCTTCTTTGAAACCTTTATCTTACAAGTCTTTGAAGTAAATTCTGTGTAAACACACTAGCAAAGCAAACTTGTAAAAATCTCCTTCCTAGAATGTTGTGGGTTGTTTTCTGTTCTTTTTTCCCTTCTAGCTGTTTAACACTGGAATCTCAAGTGAGCTAAGAATATAAAGAAGCAGTGTTTCCATAGCTCCCTCTCTGGACTGAATGGGTCTCTGAGTAGTGGCAGATTGAGGTCTATTTTCTGTCACTGGCCATGCCAAGGATGTGAGCTGCTGCTTTCATCTTCAGTAAACCCCATGAAGAGTTATATCCATTGGGGGAGTTGTTTGGTAAATGTTACAGCTTAATGACAAAGACTTTGAAACTGAGCTCCTAGGGTCTAAGTTGTCAAGTCTTGAGATGCTTTTCTGATTCATTTTGTGGGGGTATTTCTGTCTTTTGGTTCATGATCTTTCTTTAGTTGAGCCTTTTATCATTAAATTATGGGCTTTCAATTTGCTCAGAATCTACCTCTGGACCATGAATGTTCCAGTAATCTCAACAGCAGTGGCTGAAGGTGAAAAATGTCTTGATTTACAAATTTGAAAAATGTGAACTTTAATA